CAAGGCAGATATTATTATCAGTGTTACATAATTTATATCATATGTTGTGATATAAATGACCAAGTGTCAACTTTTTACATAATCTTCCCGATAAAGCTCCTTTGTTCTTTGATTTGAAAAAGTGGTTGTGTTGTATACTAGGAAGAAACATCACAAAGTAAACTCCGTGGCCTGGATGCAAAGAACTACACTACTAGTTTCATATGCGGAAGGGAGCGTGTTTCTTGAAAAGAAGTCATCTGTATTACCAAAAAAGGGACTTTCAAAAGCCATAGAGTGTGGCAAGTTTGTTCTTCAAAGTAAAACAAAATCACACCTGCAGTAGCTCTTTGGATCCTGACCAACAACTTTTATGTTTCTAACTGATTATTTTTAAATATTATGTATTAGTTCAGTGGGGTTTTTTTTGGGGGGGGGACATTATGAATTACCTATGCGATAGTGAGTTCCACTCAAAGCCTAAAGAAACACCAGTGTCACTTCTGTACCTTTGAAATATCCTAGACATACACAAACACTGTAAGTATTGGACACTAGATTCAACATTTCACGAACCACACTATGCACCATTAAGATTTCTGTAGAATTCCTCCACCTCCTGCAATGAATATTAGGGCTGCAGTGCACAAATGCACACTTCCAGTCACTGAAAGCTGGTTTGCTTCTGGTAGTGTGTAGATTTAAAAATTAAGCCACCAGGATCTTACTTGGTCCTACCCCTTAGCAAGGCATGATCACACATTAAATAGGACAGCCATCTGTAAGGGGAAACAGGTTTACGTGTACAGAACTATCCTATCATGAGTACAAAAGACTGGGTTTTTTGCAGGGGGAGGGTAGTTTGCAGGGGGGGGGGAGGTCCCAGCAGCTAGTCCCTGTCTTTTTGTGCTGTGTGTGTTAGTAGATGATCACTACTGTCAGCTTTGAGAGTATCAACGGTTTGTTAGGCAGGGCCCAGGGAAGTGCCTCTTCCCACCCACCTTCCAATGCTGTCAGAGCTGGGAGTGATGATCAACTCTTGGGAGAGCTCCACAAGCACAGATTGGATGTGTGGCCATCTGTACTGAGGTCAACAATGTGAATAGTTCAGCTGGGAATGTAGAGTAGTATATCTCACTAAGGATGTTGCATGCTATGGTTTGGAATATGGGTACCCAAAGTAGCCTAGGCAGTGGGGCTTTGTGACAGCCCTTCTCAGCAGTGGGGCTGCCCGTGGACCTTGTTATGGCATAGACAGAATCAGGCCTGCTTTGGTTCGCCATTGTGCATGCTTCCTATCTTCCAGCTCTTTTCTTGGTACGGCCAGTATAGTGCAGAAGTTGAGTCTTCATCCAGGAAAAGAGCTACATTTCTAGATAAGCCATGAAGAAATTATCACAAGATGTTGTTGTGATAAATGAATACATAAATGCACCTTGGGAAATGTGAGAAGGGGGGGGAAGCCACACAATTGTCCTTTGACCAGGGAAATCTTAAATTTATGTGGAAAGGGAACGTCACATCAGGATATGTTCATAGTTTTGTATCCCAAATGGACTTCTATATGTAAAAAAAAAGAACACTTGTTTGTCTTTTTAAAAGTAAGATTCCCATGCACACATACCTGGAAGTGTGTACACCCAGCGTGCTTGGATTGTACATTAATCCAGCCAGGGGTGCCAACTTGAATAAAATATTTGGGGGGGGGCAGTTAAGCCTCTCCCTGCATAATCACAAGACGCGACACATGCACACTATTTGAATGGCAATACCAATCAACTTTTGGGGGGGTACCCCCTCAAATATTTTATTGAGGGGGGGTGAAGGGATCTCAGCCCCTAGGAGTTGGCTCCTATGACCCCACCTGTGTCTAGCACACTCCCAAGACCACCTGGAAGCCTCCTGTTTTATGTAATGTTGGTATAGAATCTGTACTCATAGGCCAAAAACTGCACAGTTGTTACACCTCAGAATCTGGGATTAAAGATCACGTGGGTTGGAGTTGACTTCATTGGAAAGTTATGAGATTCATTGAAATGTGAGATGGTGGCACACATGCATAGGGCTAGGGGTTTAAATATTCCAAATGATGAAGGTTTAAGTAAAATGGCTTGAGCACATGCATTGCATGAAGACGGTTCAGTTGCTGGCATCCCCAATTTGAAAAGGGGATTTGGTGTAGAATTGCTGCTCTGCTATCTCTGCTTGAAGCTTTAGAAAGCCGCTGCTACTGTATCTCATACTGAACTAGGGGGACCAATAGTTTAATACAGTGGGTATCTTCCTGTGTACAAATGTCACTGCTGTAAAATTGTGCCACTTCTTCCTACAGAAACTACCGTATTTTTCGCTCTATAACACGCACCAGACCATAACACACACGTAGTTTTTAGAGGAGGAAAACAAGAAAAAAAATATTCTAAACAAAATAGTGGATATATGATTTTTATGGTTAATGCTGTGGCCACAGACATGTGATCTGACAGTGAGTTTGGAATAGCCCAATGCAAAAATCCTGAGGATCCATGCTTTGTAACCACGGAGGAGGGAAGGAAGGGGAACCATGGATCCTCTGTTCACAACTGCAGCAGATCCCCCCCGCCACCCGCAGGCATTCGCTCCATAACACGCACAGACATTTCCCCTTACTTTCTAGGAGGAAAAAAGTGAGTGTTATGGTGCAAAAAATACGGTAGCTAAAGCCTAAAACAAGAATATATTCCAACAGCATCACAACACCTTCCTGTAAGGGATGGTGTTTAGAGGCCTGTGTTAAATTAGACATCCAGGAGCATATAGAGGAAGTAACAGCTGTATTTTGAACTTAATTGGTTTTAGGAGTTACTGCTTTTGATACGTGTGTGTGTGTGTGTGTGTTTGGAATACTTTTAGAATATGGAAAATAACGATCTGCCCTGCACCTTTTGGATAGAGCAGAGTTTTAAAAACAACAACCACAAGGAAATATTCTTAATTTCCCTTAAAGACGTTTGTGTGCCACTCCCCTTTCCTGAATGTTAGTATTCTGTCTTTTTATTGATGCCTCTTTTTTATGGTACCTACGAATTGTGGAGATTTACAATGTACAAAATTAATAAATAATTTTGAATATAGAATATTTGTCATGAGTCTGTGGATTGCATTATCAGATCAGTTCAAACATTTCATATATCTGCTTAGCAGCAGCCCTGGATCTTTTGTGAAGCAAAGAGCATGGTTCGTATGACGTTTATTCACATTGTTGTTGAATTTATATATGAACAAGACACTTGCACTCCCTCTGCTGGGCATGATTTGAGTAAGAATGTTTGAATTGGTGTCTTCCATTCTGAAACTTCCTGAGAGCCCATATGGAATGAGCCTTACTAATGCCAGTGAAATTTTAAAGGGTGATAAGGAACATCAACCACAGCTGTGTTTGAAATATTTCTTGTGTTTTAGATACCTTGCAACTAGTTAGCTGTAGAAACCAAATACAGTGGTGCCTCGCAAGACAAAATTAATTCGTTCCGCGAGTTTTTTCGTCTAGCAAATTTTTCGTCTTGCGAAGCACGAAATCCCATAGGAATGCATTGAAATTCAATTAATGCGTTCCTATGGTCAAAAAAAGTCCAAACAAAGCCAAATTTGGTACAACAAGAGTTTATTAAGTTCTCTTTAAAGTCACACCCACCACACGGAAATTCAAATCCAGAAATCTTTTTTAAAAACAGCAGAGTGGCCCAATGGTCACAGAAAATCATAAAAATGCAGAAAAAAACCACACAAGCTTCCAGATTCTTGCAAACCCCTCCTCAACTGTTCCCCCAGCCATCCACCACACAGAAATTCAAATCCAGAATTTTTTTAAAAAAACAGCAGAGTGGCCCAATGGTCACAAAAAATCATAAAAATGCAGGGGGAAAAAACACAAGCTTCCAGATTCTTGCAAACTCCTCCCCAGCACCAAGTCTTTGAATTCCAAACACCCCAACCCAAAATCCAAAAACCCCAAAAAAAGTTTTAAAAGTTTAACTTACCAAATGGCTGCAAAAGAAGTTTTGGAAAAGCTTCAAAAATCACCAAAGTCTTTAAAAACCTCAAAAAAGGCTACCACACCGCGTTCTATGAGTTGATCCTCGAAGTCAAGTCGCAACTGTATTAACGGTGTTAAGAAAAAGGAAACAAACTTGCAAGACGTTTTCATCTTCCGAAGCAAGCCCATAGGGAAATTCGTCTTGCGAAGCACCTCAAAAAACGCAAAACCCTTTCGTCTAGCGAGTTTTTCGTCTTGCGAGGCATTCGTCTTGCGGGGCACCACTGTACTAACATCTGTTCCAGTTCAACCAGCTGGTAAGAGAGCCTAATGACTGTTCTTCTTAACTCCCAAATTAGTATGTCAGTCAGGGCACCTTCTCACGTTGCCTCAGGGACATGGATGACCATTTTTGTGACAACATGCCATGTTGCTGAAGTAGCTCTCTGTGTATTGGAGCCAAGTGAGCAGGGGCGAGTCATGTGGATCATTTGCATCTGATCATTGTCCTCATTCCCAGCCAAGTAATATGGGAAAGGCCCACAAGATTGAATCTGTGTTGGTGGTTCCTGTTGACAGTTAATGCACCCTGTTTATATGCGTGTGTATAGTAACTTTTTATTTTATAAACAATAAAATATAAAAATATATTTTATTTTTATATAACTTTTATAAACAAAGATCATAGGAATAATGATACAAATGAATAGATTAAGTCTTCTCATGTCATTTGTATATCAACTACAGAATGCACATTTAACTAGTAAAGTTTTTTAAAAAGTATCTTTCAAAAGAAAACATTACAAAAGGAAGTATAATATAAAATGTCCATTTAAAACAGCACAATTAGTAAGAGAATAAAATATTATCATAAGCATAGAACGTATCTGCTGCTGTTGCTGCCAGTTCTGCCAATGGTAGTTCTCAGCCAGGCTCCCAAGCCAGGTTGAAAAAAGCCCTGCAAGGCAGGGAACAGGTCTTCCCGGATTCGCAGCCAAAACACACTCTCCTTTTTATAGCTTTCCTTTAGTGCTCATCAATGATGCTGGCATATGCTTGGGCTTGTTTGTAACTTCCCCTAGCTGCTGTTTATATTTTAATTTCTATTATGTGCTTAAAAATAACCTTCAAGCATGCTGGAGTGATTTAATTTTCCTGACTCTCCTTTTCGACATCCTTCTGAGATTTCTTCTCTTGAAATTTAGGGCCCCTCTGGACTGGTGGTTTTCGGTATGTGTATTCTGCAACATGCACTGATGGTGCATTAAAGATGGGTTCATACTGGATACATTGTTCTGGTTTAATAGGTGTCCCCCTATATTCCTGTACTGTATTATTGCCATCTATGCTATAGCACAAAATAAGCAGGACAAAAATAGACCCCAGAACTTAGAAAAGTTGCAAGATTTTAGTGTGAAACTATGGGTCATGCACCTATTTTGAAAAAAGCAGTATGACCACCCCAAAACATATGCTGCTTCAAATGCTACTCTGTTGAGAGAAATGGAGCATTCTGCATAAAACACTTTGGCCTTAAATAATCAAAACAGATCGGAAAACAATCTTCCATCGGTTTGGTTATTATACCAGCTCCTCATTCCGGATCAATCTCTCTCTCTGATCTTTTTTTAAAAAAAGTTTATTTATTTGCATAGTTATAAAATACATAATATTATGATTATTTAATTCAATAAGACTTCCTAAGCATGCACATATAGAGAGTAATGACTTGCTCTCAATTGCCTGGAAGTCAGGGAAAACTCGAACGTGATTGAGCTTTTTTTGAGTAGTATTATCTGCATTGAACCATCTCTTTTCCTATCCGCTCCCCTTCTTCGAGACGTATCTACGATATGGAGAACAGGAGCGCTCCTCCTTGCTACTGTGTTTGACTTAAAGGGTCCCTACAGGGCCACAATATGCTGGTTGAACAAATACACGTGTCCCTAAGAGTCTTGTTTACCAACGACCGAGAGCCTTCTGGGAAATGGTGTTCATTAGCCCTGCTCTAGCTAGCTTATAAGGCGAAGAGAAACAACAAATCCCACTGTCCTCTGCGGTTCAGGAGGCTGACCAACACTTATTTACGACTCTGCGTTCGGGATGACTGGCAGGGCCTCCCGTCCAACCGAAGGCGCGGAAGGACATCAAAACAAGTCTGTTTTCCACGGACGAAACCTGACAGGCATTCGAAAGATCCAATGAGCAGAAAGAAACATTTGATGGGCGTCCGCCGGAGCCATTGGGAGCCCAAAGTCCATAAAAAGGCGGGCGGGGCTTTCCCGAGAGAGAGAGAGAAAGAGAGAGGGCGGGGAAAGAGAAAGCTGAAGGGAGTCCTGTAATGGCGACGGGTTTGGTAAGTAGCGAGAAGTTTTGGAGCGAGCGTGAGGGGCGGTCAGGAAGGGACGGGGACGGACAGTCAGGGAACGAGTTGTTTTGAAGGCTTTTCTTTCTCGCCTGGGGGTCGTCGGGGTGTGGCGGGCACAGGGGAAGCTTTTTGTTGGTCACTTTGTGAGGTGCCGAAAAACGGCTGAGGAGAAAAGGAGGGGAGGAAGAAGAGGGCGCGACTCCCCGGAGGGGGGGAGACCCCCGCCAATACGGCAACGGGCAAACTGCCACAGGCGAGGGGGGCGTTAGACCTGAGGAGAGCCCCCCCCGCGCTTCTGTTCCTCCTTTTTTGTCCCCTCCGCCTCGCCCTGCGTGAAGAGACCCGCTTGTTGATTTGGCCAGCTGAGGGGAACGGGCCCTTATCTCGACGCCCGAGAGCGTTTCCCCCCTCAGCTGTGGGGCGCGGGCCCCTTTCCCCGCCCCCACCCGAAGCCTCGTCCTGTTGTTACGCACTTCTGAATGAATGGGGCCTTTGGGCGCATGCGCCGTGTCCTGCGAGGAAAAAGTTTATAAACAAGGAGCAAGCGGGCGAGGTGGGGGGGGGGGAGCGCTCCTTCTTCCAGGCAATGGTCCACGTGACCAGAGAGGGGCGGAGGGAGAGGCGCTTGGGCCGCTCGCGAGGCTCCGCCCGGTTTTCGGCGCTCTGTTAAAGGGACCAATCGGCGGCCCGCGGCTCGTGCTCTCGCGCGTGACTCCCAACTGCCTCTCTCCCCTCTCGCGAGGCGCGTGACAGATACTTGGCGAACGGGCGGCGCGCGAGAGTCCTCCCCTCCCCCCCCCCGCCTCCTGTTCTTGTTTTGCGCAGATCCCGAGACGCTGCGCGCGGGTGGGGGGAGGGGCGGGGCTGACAGTGACAGAAACGCAGCAGGAGGAGTTAGCTGGATCAGGGCTGGCCGCCTCCTTCCACTTTCTCGGCTTGTATAACAGTGGGAAGTGGTGTCATTTAAGTAACCGCACAGCTGTATCGAGCTTCTCTCTCTCTTCCCTTGTGCAAACTCTGCATGTTTCGCAGAGTCGTAGAACAGACTGTAGGGTTGGAAGGGACCCCCAGGGTCATCTTGTCCAGCCTCCTGCAAATGCAGGAATCTCTCCGTGACAGAGGGCCATCCATCCTCTACTTTAGAACCTGTTTTTTTAATTAAAAAAAACATTGTGTGTTTGTGTCGTGAAGCATCCTGAGATCTGTGGATGAAGAGTGGTATTCAAATTTAATAATAATAATAATAACACTATTCAAGGAAGGAGAGTCCAAACCTCACGAGGGAGACGGTTCCACTGTCAGAAAGTTCCTCCTGATGTTTAGTCAGGATTTCCTTTCCTGTAACTTGAAGCCATTGTTTTGGGTCCTACCCTCTGGAGCAAGAGAAATTAAGGTTGCTCCATCTTCTATGTGACAGCCCCTTAGATATTTGAAGGTTGCTGTCATATCTCCTCTCCCAAGTCCTTATCACCAGACTAGACATACCCAACCCCCTCAACTGTTCCTCATAAGGCTTGGTTTCTAGACCCTTGATAAGGTTCCTGACCCTTCTTTAACTTTGAGCTGCGTGAAGATGGCAAGCCAAATAGGAACCAGAGGGGGTGCTCTAGGGCAAGCATGGCTGTAGGGAGGACCAGAGGGTCACTGGTGGCTACTGTTGTCTCTAGCTGTGAAGATACCATTGTTTCTGCACTGCCCCCCCACCATTGACCTTTTTGGGGGGTGGGGAGGGAACACTGAATCCACCAACTGAGAAGAATCTTTCTGTGACTTGCCTTGTGCTGCTTTGATGGTTGCTGGTGAATAAAGTGAGACAGGAGAAAGCTTTGTGGTGGTGGCTTTTTCTTCTTTAAAATAAAGATGTGTGCGTGTTACAGGAAGCGCTGTCCCGTGGCTGCTCACTGATACATGTAAAGGTATCTTTGACAGTGGGATACTAGTTTTCAAATGCACTAGGTTTCCTTGCCTGTTACGATTTTAAGCATGCATCATTCACGATCATGCATGATCCAATAGGAACATGTGAAGCAATCTTAAGAGTGCATCTGTTGTTTGTTTATAATGTTGAATGAATTGAACACTGCCAAAACCTACCTGAAATGAAATGCAACAGTTTTAAAAATACAGTGGATATCTTAAGGTGAATAGAAATGTAAAATACAAGTTTATGATAAGAACTGCAACAGCAAGTAATATTGCATCAGATGGTAATCTCAACTGCTAGCTAACTGCACAACAGAGGTTGTGAACTCATCTGCAGGTTAAAGGTTTTAAAATATTAAAAGTTTTTATTTGTTGGCAGAATGCCATCAGGGAAGTAGCCATGCAAATCTTCTTTGGGAAGGCTTTCTTATAGTGTGTGGTCAGCAACATCTTTCTACACTGTAATCTTGCCCATTTTCATATTGTGTACTGGCATGTGAATATCATTTTCTTCAAATTAAAGAAACAATATTCAATCAATAGTTAATTCTTTTTTAAAAGATTCTTAGGACAATGGTGGAAAAGCCATCTGGGTGTTTATATAATGACTTACAAGTTATTAAGGATGAAAACAGCATGGGGGGGGGAAATCCTACTTGTATGCCTTATTTGCATTTTTTTCTCAAAATTGATTCCTATGTGTGAAAGCTGGCATTGTTTTTCTCTAGTGGATGAGTTCAGTTTCCTCTGTAGATCTGTGCACACTTGTATATTGCTTTTCGAGCAGCCTACTCTGATTACTGACTAGTGGAGAGCTTAGGTACGTGGCTCTTGAGCCCCTTCCACGGACCATTTTGATAGATGGGTGGGGTTGCCCACTTATCAGTCAGCTGACATTAAGCGACCCCACAATCCTCATTTTAGGCAGCAAATGACTGCACTATGGAATTCTGTAAGAATGGGTGGAATAGCTCTATTTTTACTTAAAAAAATCTTTTCCTTGTGGATAATTCCTGTGGGCAAATTTTGAATCACGAAGTGGAGGGGGACAAGATGCAATTCCTGCAGGGACTCAATTTGGCTCTTTGGCTTACTACAGTAGTTGGCTTTCTTTCTCTGAACGGCAAAACAATATGCTAGTGAGACCTGAAACAAAATGTTGCAGTATGGAGTGCTCCTGCTCAGGTTCTAGCCAGCCATGTCCTCTTCTAGGACACACCATTCCATTTCCCTTCTCCCTCAGTTTTTGATTCCTCCTCCCTGAAAAGACACGGGATTAGTATGCTCACTCGTCTCATTGGTCTGTGTCTAAGTCCCCCCCTCCCCCCTTTAGGGTTTTTTCCTATCTTTCTTTTTAACTAGTTCTGGAATTCCCCTGCACATGTTCCCTCTTATTTCTTAGAAGCCCCATTTTGGCTACACTGTGGTTGGCACTCACCAGCTGACTTTGTTGTTTAAGTTGTGTCTTTATTCAGTAGCTTGAAGTTTGCAAATTTTGTCTTCCAGAGGTTTTTTGTATAAATTATGGCTGAATCTTGCTGTTTACAGACTGATTCTGTATTTCAAGATGCATAAAGGAAAGTGTTTATGCATGATGTTTGATTGTTGCTGTTCTGCCTTGGTTTTAATTTGTAAATTATCCATTGTTATCTTACATATGCAAAGACCTTATGGCTGGCTTTTGTTATTACTCAGAGTAACAAGTTATTGCTTTAGAAGGGTGTGTCATTTTAGGGAGTGAAACTTAATTTTTGCAAATTTCTTCAGTGAGCAGTCTTAAAAAAATTTTTTTTGGGGTGTGAGGAATTCAAATCTGCCATTATGTTTGTTATTGGACAACATTTAGCTTGGTAAAGCTACGTTTGATTAAAAAACACATAAATTGGAAAACCAAATAATTTTAATTTTACCTTCTGAGAGTGTTAAATACTGCTATAAAATTTTAGTTTTATCTGCATAAAACATCCTACTAAGTATACATTACCTTGAAATCATAAAACAACATTAGAAAGTAATGACATCAGTTAATAAGAAATTTAAACAACAGGTTTCATCAAGTCTTGCTTTTATTCATTCTTGGATATCAGCCATTGACTTGCTTCTTGGCCTCTAATATAGCCCTCACTTTTCTCATGTGTATATACCCTGCCTGCTGCCTCTGTGACTTGTTTCTCACACCTCTCTATAAGACTGAGAATGACAGGGCCACTGTGGAACTTGCATTGGCTTGTCAGTAAACTTTTTTACTTCTGCTGTAGTAAGTTTACATGCCAAAGGAGGTTCATACACCTCGCCAGACCAGTCTTGCCAACTCCCAACAGGGATGAAGCACTGGGGTTTATGGAAGGTGTCTTCCTCGGACATACAGGAAGATCTCCCAGTGTGTAATAATCTCTGCCCCTCAAGTCAACATCTGAGCACAAAAGTGTCTGGATTATCATTTTGCTGAATACATACTATCCTGCATGCTGGATGGTTGGCCAAGCAGCATCCACTACAGCCTTCTTTTGCAGCCTAACACACCACAGCTGAAACTCTGGTCTTTTTCAGTGATCAAGCTAGCATCCATAAAGGCAGCAGTGGTTATGGCAGCTGTGGCCACAGGCCAACACCATAGCTGATGCTTTGCGTAGCAACATTATGTATTTCTAATGTGTTGCAATCTTCTTATTTTTTATTACAAGTGGAAGGTGTACTTGGTTTTCCGAATGTCAAATAATAACTTCCATCATTTCCATCTTTGGCATCAATGAGGGTGGCAAAAGTACTGTTTGCTCAGTCCCACTTGTCAAGCATTTTAGGGTAAATGTCAGTTGCAAGACTGGCTGTTGGGTAGTTTCTGACATTCTCACCACTTCGTTCTCTTTGCAGTAGCCTATCACAAAGTTGGGAGTTCAGAGTTCCAATTAGGTTGCTCATATGTCTGTATATCCCAGCCTTGTTCTCTGTTTAGAAGCCATTGTAGGTCAATTCCCTATGGTTAGGATGGTTGTAGTAGTAGAATTACAGAGTTTGAAGGGACCCTGAGGGTCATCTAGTTCAACCCCCTGCAATGCAGGAATATGCAGCTGTCCCTTATGGGGATCAAACCAGCAACCTTGGTGTTATCAGCACCGAGCCAGCACTGATGTTTTTAACACACTGATGAAGATTCTTCAACCTGTGAAAGAAGCAAAATATTCCTTTTTCTGCCTCAAATTCGGAGAAATTGAATTTAGTTAGAATAGCTGTTACTATAAAATATACCATTCCATCATTTCAACCGATGAATGCAACATATTGTTAGCATGGTTGTATAAAGAATCATGCTGAGATGTTACATTTGATGAATTGTGTAGACTATGTATAACAATAAGGTCAGGCAAGAGTTAGCTATGAGTCTTGGAGACATTTTAATTGGCAAATTTTTTTTATAGAGAGTTGGGGGTGATAGATCTTGGTAATCCATCTTCATGCAGTTGTAACTGTAGCTAAGTGACTTAATGCGTGTAATTTTCTCATTCTGCTTAAGTCAGATAATTTGAAGCATCCTACCATGGTTTGGGAAGTTAAGACTAACCAGATGCCTAATGCAGTGCAGAAACTCCTGTTAGTGGTGGACAAGAGAACTTCAAGGATGAACGAATCATTGGAATTACTGAAGTGTCATGAGAACCTCCCATCTTCTCCTGGATATGCATCTTGTGATGAGCACATGGAACTTGGTAAATACTCTGGCTTTCTTAAAATAAACTGAGTATGCATTTGTGTTACACAATGAGATTCATATAGCATTCATTGGGTACCATCCATTGGGTACCATCCATTGGGTACCATTCATTGGGTATGTAGAGTTGAGAGTGGGACTCATTTAGCCCAGATACTTTGGCCAAGATCTAGAGTGCATATTGGGTCTATGCAAGGGAATTAGGCAAACTTGCTGAATTCTTATTATTGCATTCCCTTGAATAACTTAATTCTATGCCAAAAAACAAATGCGTTTGGAAACTCCCTTCAGTTTGCCATGGAGGGAAGGAGCATTGTCAGCTTGAAATTGCAGAGAATGCTGTAATAATAGCAACATGAATGTGCTGGAAGTTGGCCACAATTGGTGGATGTCTTCTGCTTCTTTGCGGATGCCATATGATTTCCTCATTTTTTAGAAGACTGTTCCCAAAGGGCAACAATATACCTTTCACTAGATGAAAATACCAAGATAAGGTTGGTTGCAAAGACTCTGGGCATTGCCAATTCCAAATATTCTAAATAATATAATATCTGTCCTATTTGAGGAACTTGCACATGAAGCTCCACCCCTGTCAATATCTGCTCCAGTCATACATATAGGAGGTGGTGCACAAATGTTGGGTTGAGTTCTTCATTGCTTGATATTGTGTGTTCAGTGTAGTTTTTGTGAAGGGATCCTCCAGAAACATACCAAGTTGCTTGCTCTGGAGACACCTGTGTTTAAACCTAAACTCAGATGGGACAGTTCAGAACATAAATATATGACCCTCCATTTCCAATGCTGTTGGCATAATTTGATAATCCCTGGCCTACGGGATTGTTGTTGTTTAGTCGTTTAGTCGCGTCCGACTCTTCGTGACCCCATGACCAGAGCACGCCAGGCACTTCTGTCCTCCACTGCCTCCTGCAGTTAGGTCAAACTACGGGATAAGGAGTGTCAAAATCCCAAGCCGCGTCAGCAAAAGCCTTTCCAGAAACTGAGACAATACTGGTGTAGTTAGAAGTGTGGGCTCCCTCCAACCAGCTCAGGACTTTTCATGTTCCCATTTTGGTGTGATGGTGCAGTGATGGGCCTTGAAGGTAGGAAATGCCCATGGACAATAGGAAATTTGTCGTTGCCCCCCCCCCCCCCGAATCATAATAGTCAGGGAGATCAACCTTAATTGACCTGTAGACCTTCGGTTGTGCTGGTCTAATCCGTAGGAATCAATCAGACCATGTGCTCTTCTTTGCAGATGATCTTCCTGAACTGCAGGCTGTTCACACTGATTCTACCCCACCTGCACTTTTCCAGCTGAGTGCTGATGTATCGCATCAGGAATATTCAAGGCCTTCATGGAACCAGGATACCTCAAGCAGCAGTTCAGAAAATGCTTATACTTGTGAGAATGGAGTGAACTGGTTGACAGAATTGGCAAACATAGCTACTAGTCCACAGAGTCCTCTAATGCAGTGCTCTTTTTATAACAGGTGTGGTGTAGATTCAAATTTCTTACATTTCTATCGATTTTGTAGCTTGCAGCATTTTTCATATCATTTAAAGAGTTTTATTTTGCATTAAACTCTGGGATACTACCCTTTTACAACTGGAACCTCCTTGCATGGGTGGTTGTCTAAAGGCATAGCAACTGTTTTAAACATGTAATAACATGAAACAAAAAATTTAATGGTAATTGCAGAGTCCCTGTTTTTAAAGTAGGCTGTTGACAATTATCACGTTTACTTGCTTTAGCAGTTTATTGTTTAAATTTATTTTTGCTCCTTCTATTTGTGTGCCACCCAGTCTACTTGCTTACGATCTAAATAAACCAAAATGTTGTTCGCTGTTGCTTTGGGCCCCTCAGTCACTGTTCTGTAGCTGAAAGGGTGGCAGGAGGTTGGAGCTTCTAGGCTGCCCTGCCATGTAGAACACTGTAGCTAAAGGGCTGATTTCTCCCTTGTGTCCCCCAGCTATAGCCTGGAATAAGGAGGTCTTCAAGGAACTTACTAAGTTTATTCCCCAGCCCTCCTTTCTTTGTAGCAATGAGCATTGGTTGGACTACTTGCTGTGTTAACCTCTTTTTCATCTATGTGTTTTGGTAACACTGGGGCAGACTGCTGCGGTGTGATAATAGTAAAAAATAGTAAAAAAATTGAGCACAGTATTTGTTGATGAAACCAAGCACATCATAGAAATGTTAGCAGCATTATGTTCTATTGCCAAATATGCAAAGGGAGAAAAGACCTCGAAGTTACAGAGTATAATTTATTGGCCAAACACATTTAAAGATTTTTATTTTTTCAGGAACCACTGATTTTGGTCTGTTCAAAGAAGCAACTAAGACATTACTATCTCAGAATTGTCAATAAATTACTCTTGGTGTACCTGTGATGCTTTTCCTTCTTTCCTTCCTTGAGCAATATCTGCTTATATATATATATTTAACAATTATTTCCTAGATCATCTCCTGTTCATCTAATAGCTACAAGCAAAAGTTTACATTCCTATGCACGTCCTCCACCAGAATCCTCTCAGAGTGACTCTGGTTTTCCTAAGCATCACATTGATGAAACACCTGTCAGACATGAAAGGGTAAGCTTTGTTTATTGAACTAGCTAAAGACCAGATTTAAACTTTTTAGAAATTGAAATAGCTTTACTTTGCCAGCTGCTCATTTAGATTTTTTACTTGTTTAGTGTTGGGAGCAATCTTTGTGGTAGCGTACATAGCTTGAAGAGCTCACAATCCAAGGGAGGTACAGAATGAACTACAAAAGACCAAGCTTTATGATGTTCACTATTTTATGCTTGGCAAGTAGATTAAAACATGAGAGAAGCTGTGAAACAAAACATCAAAACACATGGAATGTTGTCTTATTCATTTCTACTACAGTGGTGCCCCGCAAGACGAACGCCTCGCAAGACGGAAAACCCGCTAGACGAAAGGGTTTTCCGTTTTGGAGCGCTCGCATAAGCAATTTCCCTATGGGCTTGCTTCGCAAGGCGAAAGCCCATAGGGAAATCTCCGAGGACCTCTTTTAAATGCTAGCGGTGGGGAGCAAAGCCTTCCCCCCTCCGGCCTTCAGAAGAGGTCCAGGAAGGCTGGCGGGGGCCGAAGGCTTTGCTCCCCACCGCCAGCATTTTAAAAGCAGTCCGGGATAGCAGGGAGCGCTTCCCGCTATCCCGGACGGCTTTGAAGGCAGGAGAGGTCCGCGAAGCCTGGGCGCGCTGATCTCAGCGCGCGCAGGCTTCGGCATGCCGGCAACTCTCCGCAAGCAGCGGCAGCGCTGCCGCTGCTCGCGGAGAGGTCCGCGAAGCCTGGGCGCGCTGATCTCAGCGCGCGCAGGCTCGGCATGCCGGCAACTCTCCGCAAGCAGCGGCAGCGCTGCCGCTGCTCGCGGAGAGGTCCGCGAAGCCTGGGCGCGCTGATCTCAGCGCGCGCAGGCTCGGCATGCCGGCAACTCTCCGCAAGCAGCGGCAGCGCTGCCGCTGCTCGCGGAGAGGTCCGCGAGCCTGGGCGCGCTGATCTCAGCGCGCGCAGGCTCCGGCATGCCGGCAACTCTCCGCAAGCAGCGGCAGCGCTGCCGCTGCTCGCGGAGAGGTCCGCGAAGCCTGGGCGCGCTGATCTCAGCGCGCGCAGGCCCGGCATGCCGGCAACTCTCCGCAAGCAGCGGCAGCGCTGCCGCTGCTCGCGGAGAGGTCCGCGAAGCCTGGGCGCGCTGATCTCAGCGCGCGCAGGCTCGGCATGCCGGCAACTCTCCGCAAGCAGCGGCAGCGCTGCCGCTGCTCGCGGAGAGGTCCGCGAAGCCTTGGCTGGACAGCTTTTGAAGGCAGGTGGGGGGACAAAGACTTTCGCCCCCGCCAGCCTTCAGAAGAGGTCCAGGACCTCTTCTGAAGGCTGGCGGGGGCAAAGTCTTTGTCCCCCTGCCTGCCTTCCCAGGAGCTTTCAAATTGCCCCGGACAGCGGAGAAGTCCTCCGCTGTCCCGGGGCAATTTTAAATGCCGCCCGCCAGCATTTTAAGATCGCCCGGACAGCGGAGAAGCCCTCCGCTGTCCCGGGGTTTTAAAATGCTGGGGTGGAGTGGGAAGAAAGCCCTTGTCCCCCCAGCCTTCAGAAGAGGTCGGGGGACAGACTGTCCCCGGACCTGGTCTGAAGTCGGTTTCCCTAGGAACGCATTAATTGATTTTCAATGCATTCCTATGGGAAACCGTGCATCGCAAGACGAAAAACTCGCAAGAAGAAAAAACTTGCGGAACGAATTAATTTCGTCTTGCGAGGCACCACTGTACTGTCAATACAGAACATTGTATTCTGATTCTTAGGCCAATTTAAAACATACATTTTTAGCATCGCTTACTTTTGAGAACAGCTGTCTTGGCAGTTTTCTGTTTGCCTTAATCATGTTGCACGTGTCATTTTTGCCTAGCATCAGGGGGACACACTAAGGTGGGGTGAGCTTTGTGTGTGAGAGGGAGAGAGACAGAGAGACAGACAGACAGGCAGAAATGAGGAGAGTAGCATAGGAATGCTTAAATATGGAACTGGGTCTTTGGTTTGTGAAAGATTTGTTCCATAATGTAGTTGCTACAAAGAGTCATATAAAAGATGTAAAATTTAAGAATACTTGGGAAAAGACATAGCAGTGATTAAGTGAAATATTAGAAACCCCATGCAGCTTGGTTTTGCAAGAAACTGAAAAATAATCATATTGTCCACCTAGAAATATTTATTTAAATACCTTTATGTGGCTTTGTTTTCTCAACAGACAAATAGTGAATCAGAGTCTGGAATTTTCTGTATGTCATCCCTGTCAGACGACGATGATCTAGGATGGTGCCACTCCTGGCCTCCAACTGTTTGGCATTGTTTCCTTAAAGGTAAAATGCCATATATTACATGGCAGGATTTAATAATTGGGTTTGCCATTTTAATGACACTAATTTTCTTTTTAATAAAACTTTAGGAACACGTTTATGCTTTCATAAAGGACGCAACAAGGAATGGGAGGATGCTGAAGATTTTGCTAGGTCCACAGCCTGTAAAAATGAAATGGATGATTCAGTGAGTACTTACAAAGTAAGTTTTTCCTTTCATATTCTTTTGTAATGACCACAGCAATTTATCAGCTGCTTGTCTGAGTTAATTTCTAAACGTTGCATGCTTTAAAGAGAGACAGACAGCAAAGGAAAGCATTTACATGCAGCCATCTTAATAGGATAGCCTGTGAGGAAGGAGTAGAAAGGTATGGTTGGCTACTTGGCTGCATATCCAGGAGCAATGGCAGCTTGCTCAAGAAAAGCTGATGCTAAATTATTTGGTGATAGTGTCAAAGGGAAAATTTCCTCTTTTGAAGTGCTGCTGCAAACTAGGCTGATTACATATTAAAGAAATCCTGCCTGACACGTCTTGCCCATTGTGGCTGATCATATATGTAGTAAACAAATCTAGTGACTAAAGTGAAATAAATGTTAGTGGCTGAGCCAGAAATATTGTGAGAAGGAGAAAGTGACTGTTTTTGCCAAATAAATTACACACTCTTAGTTCTTTTAGGATGAGAGTAGTTTCAATGTCCGTAGACTCACGTGTTCCTTGAATAACCAAAGCTCGCCTGTTCTACAGGGATATGGTTCTGATGGTTTGAAGTTGATATCCCATGAAGAAAGTGTTTCATTTGGCGAGTCAGTTCTAAAATTGACTTTTGATCCTGGCACAGTGACAGATGGCTTGCTTACTGTAGAGTGTAGACTAGATCATCCTTTCTATGTTAAAAACAAAGGTAAGAAATTATTATAACTATTGTAATGCATGTAGAACATCACTGTACTGTATATTCTGGTTATCCAGTCATCATCTTATTGCCATAAACTGTCATAGTCTTAAAAAAACCATCTATTACCATGTCAAAAACTTTCTTCTTCATCTCTGCAGTCTCTTCTGTCTCTGTGCAGAAAATGTCTAAAACTTCCATGTACATCCTCCTCAATTCTTTCAACCTCCCAGCGTTAGTACATTTAGCGAACACCTCTAATACTAGAGACTTTTTTTCTGAGGAAAATAAAACCTTGTTCCAGCAGGCTTTTGGGAACTGTCAAATTTTAATGAAAGGGCCAGTGTCATACTGTTTTCATTATAATTATTTGTATGGTTTTACCAGATTTTTAAAGATATCCATATGTAAATGTTTGATTGTTTTTTAATTACTGCTTTTTCTAAGTTTCTAGCACTTCTTTATTTTTATGTTAGCTGCCTTGAGTCCCTGTCAGGAAAAAAGGCAGGATATAAATAAATATAGAACAGCAGGCTTATGTTAAATGCAAATACCTGCTGGAGAAGGAGGTCTGGAACTCTTCTGGCAGGTTCCAGCATGGTAGATACCTATGTGTAAATTAAAGCGTTTGCTATCTCTTGCAATGAAACTCATGTAGCATCCCAATGGTGAATATTTTGATTGCCATGACGTTACGCTGTAACGTTCGTTTGGTTTGTGCCATCTGAACTCCTTTATGTGCAGTCACAGCAGATCCTAGGGTACTGGAAAAGTTTGATGTCTTCCATGATACTGAAAATCAACTGTTGCCCTTGTATAGAATTTGAACAACCGAAACCATTCAACTTCTGGGAAGAGCTTTCTTTACCAAATAACCCCTGATCCTACTAAACTTAATTGTGCTCAAGTTCCCTGGAAAACAGTGCTGTTTGCATTTTCTTGCAGACATTATTCAGTTGCCTCACTGATTTCAGTAGGAGTTCAGCATGACTAACTTTAGATAACATCATACCCATGACTTTTTGGATATTGATATGGAGCAGAGGGAAAGCCGTAAGCTCTTAATTGTGCAATATTTTCCTTGCTGAAAGTGGTGAAGTCCTGTTAGATTATCCATTCCTTTGGTGGTAGGATATGTTTAAAATAAGCAATTAAAAAAATGACATGAACAAATTTTTTCCTGTTCTGAAGAAAATACTGAGATTCTAAAGCCTCTTTCTCCCCTTTCTCTACATATGTGGTGACTCCATGACACTTTGGGCAGGTTCCTTTATGTATTTTATTTCTAATTGTAAAACACCTAGGGAAACACCAAGGGTGCAATGCCCAGGGATCATAGGATATATTGGGTCTCCCTCTCTGACATTAGAGACAAGAGATTCGATGCCACACTAGAGAAAGAAATTTCATGTCAGATTTTGCCCCCACCCTGGTGCAGAAACCTCTTGATGCCCTAGCCCAGCCCAGAATTGGGCATGTTGAAACTGGTTCAAAGGTGTGTCAGGGAGGGTTGGGGAACAACTCTGGAGAGACCCGGTCATTAATTGATCTAAATCTCTCTCAGTAATTGTTACCCCAGTGTTCACAATGGGAGGGAAACTGTGGAAGGGAAGAGAGACTGCAAAATAGATGAATGAGTGCAAGAGCATTCCTCCAACTCACTTCTCCACTCTTAGTGAGAGCCTGGCAGATCTTTGCTTAAAGCGCCTTCATATTCTTGACATTTGGATTCTAAATACATTTGCTAAGGAGGAAGCCACATTTAACACAGCAGGGCTTATTTCTGAGCCGATGTATATAGAATTGTGTTTCGTGCTATTAGGACTCTAAATAAAGAGAATCTGAGTTGCTGGACTATTTATCTAATTCAAGGTTTTTTCCATTCAGGCTGGTCATCTTTTTATCCGAGCCTGACTGTGGTTCAGCATGGAATTCCATGTTGTGAAATGCACATTGGAGATACATGTCTACCTCCAGGACACCCTGATGCCATTAATTTCGATGATTCGGGTGTGTTTGATACATTCAAAAGGTAACTCTTAAGAATGGACAGGATTTTATTTCAATTGTTTTTTGCTACCTTGAGCACTGATTGGTGGAAGAAAGACACATAAATATAACTAATAGATAAACAGTGTATCAAGTTAACCATTTCTCCATGCTTTTCTTAGGTGTTACTAACAATTTGTTGGTTCCTTCTATTCCAGTTTAAATTTTAAACACACACAAAAAGCAGTCAATGAAGTTTCTCAGACTTTATAAATTTATTTTTCTTACAGTACCTTGAACAAGTAGCAGATGATGGCAATCTCAAATAAAACTGATTGTGCAGGGTTTTGGTTTTTTTAAAAAAAAAACTTAGAATGCAGTTTAAATGCAATATTGGATGTTATTTTTGGAAATGTTGGACACGTGAACTATATTTTAGCAATTTGTTTTCTTTATTCATGGTTGACTGTATATCAGCTTTACCTGTAGTATCAATAAAAAATCTATAGAATTATCAGTTTTCTTCCACTAGGGGGTAGAAAACGACCAGTTTCAAGCCTTCAGTTAGAATGTGTGGCATGAATAAGAGATGAATTTGCCTCTAATTGATATACTGAATGAGATGGAGAACAAGATCCAGCAAATGGGAGCATTGTTAGGTGTTATTTGAGAGTTGTGATGTTAAATTCTTGAGAATAATTTTTTGGAGAATATTCTCGATTAAGGTGAATATTAGAGAATTTTCATTTAAAATAGGAGAATATTCATTTTAATGCATTGAAAATGATATAATTTTTAATGTATTGAAAATGTTATAATTCATTAATATACATGTTTATTCATGGGTAAACCTGTTCAGATGGCAACCAAAAACTGTACAGATACTTTTATTCATTTTTTTTGCACCAAACATGAAATTGAAAATTCAGCATGAATGACTCATGTTAATTACTAAGCCTGCCACTAACTGTATATTTACCATCAACTTTGAATTCTAATTATGTTGTGTATGTATGAAATGTAGCTTTTAAAGTAAAGGGACTATAAAAAAACTCAGGTCCGCTACATGAGTATGTTATTTAATAAGTATATCTACATGGTACAGTATTTTCAGTGCAACACTAATACATCAATATAAAGTTTAAAATAAATGCTATTATTTCCAGAAAATAAAACACAATCAGTAATGACAAGTGACATAACATCAGAAATGCAAATTGCTATCTGCTTAGACAAGTAAGGCAATATACAACATATTTAAATTATAACTGATAAATTGTCACAAGAAATAAATTTATTTTAAAAATAGGCTTTAAGTAACAAGTGTCAAATGTTTATAAATTTATATTGACTCCTCAAACATCTTAAGAGGATAAGTCACCATCTTCATCTCCACTGGTAACAGAGCTTTCAGTTCCACACTGATCATCTGATCATAGAATGAAATTGATGGTTGTGTAAAATTGACTGAGTTTGCTAGAAGCTGTGTTTTCTTCTAGGAGTTTTAAGTTATTTACTAGATTTTTAAAATACGGGTTGTAAAACTGGTTCTTACATTAGAATTTACAGTTTGTGGAGAATATTCTCATTCTCGAGATTATTCTCTGGAGAATATTCTCACCTCACACCACTATTTGAGAGTAAATCTAGACTTGAAAAATAAAACCTGCAACCTATTTTTTAAACGGATTTCTCCATTTCAGTTATGATTTTACACCGATGGATTCCTCTGCAGTTTATGTGCTAAGCAGTATGGCCCGCCAACGCCGTGCTTCTTTATCTTGTGGAGGATCAGGAAGCCAAGACTTTGAAAGATCAGAATGCAGTACAAACTGTGGACCTGCTCAGTCATCACAGATTTCACCCAATTCTTTGTATAGTAAAGCCAGCAAAAGCCACAGCTCAGGGACTGCAAGTACTGTGAATGCCACTTCTCCCAACAAATGCAAAAGACCAATGAATGCCTTCATGCTTTTTGCCAAAAAGTACAGAGTAGAATATACTCAGATGTATCCAGGGAAAGATAACAGGTAAGAATATGTACGCTTCTGATTGTGATTTACATTTTAAGTGCAGAGAGTTCAGATGTGGGTTGCTGGCCTGATAAACGAAAATACTATTTTCACGGGGGTCCTTTTAAATTGCTTTTGAAAATGCTTCCAAAATGGAAACTTGCATATTGATGTGGTTTGATGTAATGTTCTTTGTACAACCAAGGGTCAAGCAGTGGGTTTGTAGACGAGCTTAAAACACAGTTTCCCGGTTTGCATCTCATTGGAAACTGTGGTTTAACAAACAAAGAAGTTTCCTCTAAAAAAAGCAGAGAGTAATGGCATGCTGCCATTGACATAATTCACTATTACAGTACTGCCAACATTTTTGATGGATATAATGGGAAGCAGGCGGGAACAAAATTATGACATGTAGCTTAAACTACGTGATTGCTTAGCTTATTAGTGTCTCTTCTTCCCTTTCTTTTCTTCAATGAATGGATGGCTAACCTCTGGTCATCCAGCTGTTGTTGGGACTCTAACTCCCATCAGCCAGTCAGCATGGCCAACAATTGAGGATGGTGGGAGTTGTGGTCCAGCAGTACTGGAGGGCCGTAGGTTAGCCTCCCCGTTTTAAATTAAGGAACACATGCTTTCAGTTAGGAAAGTGGTGCTCGAACAAAGGGAACAGATCTCAAGATGCTTCATTTTATGCATGTCTCAAAGTATGCATTATATAAATCAGGCATAGGCAAACTCGGCCCTCCAGATGTTTTGGGACTACAACTCCCATCATCCCTGGCTAACAGGACCAGTGGTCAGGGATGATGGGAGTTGTAGTCCCAAAATATCTGGAATGCCAAGATTGCCTATGCCTGACATAAATGCTAGGTGGTGTTATTGTCATGCATGGCAGAAATGTTATGTATTCTAGGCTGCAATCCTACAGACACTTATCTGGGAGTATGCACTGCTGAATAGCAGCAAAGGAAAACTATAGCAAGACACACAACAAACTGGTGGTTGTATTAATGTTGAATTTCTTTATCAGTGGTTTCTTATATACTGTTATTAAAGTAGCCACAAGCAGTATGTTTAGGCACATCTTTATGTGCCTAAAGCAAAGTACATACATACTCTTCCAAACTCTGCAACTTTGGACTGGCCCAATGTGAACTTGCAGACACATACTGACGTCATCCATTTTTTTTTAAGATTAGTTGTCAGGATAAGTGGGACAAATATAAAGCACTTTGTTGTGTGAATTATGGTAATAGATGTCTAGTTGAAATGTATTTGTATTCAGCAATAAGGAGATGCAAGCATAATGGGTATTAATTACATATGTTATCATGGTAGAAGTCTTGAATATTAAGGCCCTGTAATGAGCTGAATGCTTTGCTCTACCATCATCCATGCTTACAGAAAAATAGTTCTCCAAATTTGACAAATTACTTACAAATATCTTCAAAATCATGTAGGACTTCCTGCCTTTCAGTTAATTCAGTGTCACAGGATAATAAACAATTGCACCTAGCTTGAACAAGGACATTATCTGTGAACACTTGAGTGTTTTCTTGTATATAATTTTTATCCTGTGCTATCCTCAGAAAGGAAATGGATACTAGAAAAAGTTACATGTGCTGCTGGATTCTTGCATTGACTATTTCCTAAATATTTCTCCTGCAGAGCCATAAGTGTGATACTTGGTGACAGGTGGAAAAAAATGAAAAATGAAGAAAGGCGGATGTACACATTAGAAGCCAAGGCCTTGGCTGAAGAACAAAAACGTTTAAACCCCGACTGCTGGAAACGGAAACGAACAAATTCAGTATGTTTTTCCTCTACTTTGACATTTTAGTGCGCGTCTTGGTGCTTGGGAATTCACGTAGAATACTTCAGAACTGCAGAGCACCCGCCCCTACATTCTCTGTGAAATTTGAAATGTAACCCCATGTTTACCAGCAGGCTTTTCCTTTCATAGGGAATTCATTTGTCCATGTTCAAAGTTACCCTTTTCATGATACTGTATGATAATGCACAAAAGGGGGGTAAAAAAGTCTCTTTTTTGCATTTCCCTGTGTAGATGTTAACATCTAAAGGTAGGGGCAAGAATAGAGTTGCTTATGGCAGATGTCTAAGAAAACTAATCTCTGTATCATCATCATTCAAAAAGTCCTGCTTTCCCTGGCCATATACCATATATTGCTCTGTTGAAAGAGCAATATTTTGGCACTGACCAAGTACTCAGCCTTATGACAGCGCATCCCCACTCCTCCCCCCAATCAATTTATTAAATTGATGCCAGCATTGCCTCCTTAAGCGATAGAAGCCAGAGCTAACAAAGAGAAAATTAGCATATTTTTTGCTCTATAAGACTCACTTTCCCCCTCCAGAACAGCAAGAGGGATTGCTGCTTTCACTGCATAGCGATCCCTCTTGCTGTTCTGGCTTCTGAGATTCAGAATATTTTTTTTCTTGTTTTCCTCCTCCAAAAACTAGGTGCGTCTTATAGAGCGAAAAATACGGTATTTCTAAACAATAGGTGAAGCCATTCTTCACAGGACCATAGAAAGGCATTGCCTTTGACATTCTGGGCAGGTTTTGAAACCACCTTACAAAGGGGGAAAGGAATAAAGGAACGCTCATTTTGAGATAGGTGCTTTAAGGAAAACCAGTTGTAGAAAGCATTTATTATGGGTTGGGTCCTTAGGTTCCCTTTTAGACCAAATATTTCTCTTGTAGGAAAGGAACCTGGATCCAACGCAATGCTTTTGGGTTAAATATATTGGCACAAGATCACCTGAAAGTTCTTCCCACAGGGTTGCCATTGGGGTTTTTTTGTGTGTGGTTGTGCTGAAGCAGGTAATATACATGGTAACATACTTCCATGTGCAAATTGAGTCTCACGCTCAGTGCATTCATCTTAATTTCTGGTTCTCATTTTTACAGGGTTCACAATAACATTAGATCGGAATTCTTCTACAAATACATAGTGGAGGAAGACTTGATGATCAAGAATTCATGATTTGTTGTGAAGGTGCGACCATAAAATACTGGCAGCATTGAGTTGTTAGGAATGAGAATTTGCTTATTACAGTAGAGCATTAAGAAAGCTAAAAACTATCAGCATTTTAAAACCAAATTGCCTTATTTTTCTTCCAAACTACATATATGTCTATCAGGTGTAATAGGCTTGAAAATGGATATCCTGTGGTGCTAAAGAAATAGTAGGAAGAGGAGCTTTGTATAAATGTTTATTTTTAAGAAAAATGCAAAAAAGGGGAATTTTAAATATGTAACCTGTTTATACATTGATTCTTATTGCTGATTAATATGTATTGCACAAACTATGTAATTAACTACAAATCTGGGAGCTGGGATTTTCTGACATAATATATGAACTTCTCGTTTGCCCAGTGCCAACAAGTTACCAGAATGTGTGGCAAAGTGGATAGGAAATGTATATACTATATGTATACTATATGTAGCAAAATTGTTATCTTTTTGGGAAGATAACACATTTATAAATTATTTGAGGTGTGATCTCTTCCCAGCAAGAATAAAAAGGATTGCAGAATTGCCAGGGCTGTCGATAAAGGCCCAGGGGTTAAATTCATTACTTGCATTATCCCAAAAGAATGGTGCTTTTGTGGTGTCACCATTTTATTCTTAAAGGGTTGGGGGTTTTTTTGCCGGGGGGGGGGTGGGGATGGGTGTTCCTATGCTGCATATTTTAAAGATTTTATTTTGCCATAAGACATCTTTTATGGTGGGGACAAACTTTGCACTTACTGTAGGTGCAACATTTGCACTTTACTGTTTCCCCTCCATCTATCTAAAAGTAGAGGAAATATGTTAGATTTATGGCTACTTTTGCTGTGAACATTACAACATAGCTTTTAATGTTACTAAATAAAGAGTGTGTTTCTGTTTAAGAATCACAACAATAAATTTCAGCACCTGACATGTCTATGATGTTGCACACTATATTCATGTATTTCAAATAAATTTGTAAAATATATTGTCTAGTATTATGTACATCAAATGAGTTGTGACTAAATGCCATTACCCATCTATATGATTGCTACATAGGAGGAGCACTTAGAGCAAGAATGCATAGGATTTTTAATTAAGATAAAAACATTGTTACTTCAATGTACATGGAATAAAGAATTATGTAATATGAAAAATGCGACTTTAAACCTCAAGGATAGTTGCCAAGAAGTAAATGTGTATTGTATACACAAAAGGTTTTTCTTGTGGTCAGCTTAGAAGCTCTTTACATGAAAATCTTGTTTCAGTGTCTCCAGGGAAAAGAGCCTTTTTGTGATACAAAATGCTTTGGTTTCTAAATTAAAAAGTGACATTAGAACAGCATTTAAAAGTTTTTTTATTATATACAGAAAGCTGAAGACTGCATAGTGCATTTGATTTTCAGACATTTAAGTATTGACGTCTTATAGTTCTTGGTAGGTTTTGCAAAAGTCAGGTGCTGTTTATATTAATTCTAAGTATTACCCTACCAGTACAAATTAAATATGTCAGAGGAGTTTCCATACCTTCCAAAGAACATTTTACTGAAGAGTAGACAGTGCCTTCTGTAGCAGTTGTACCATTATGGGGTAGACTGGAGCAAATTCCTTTCCTTCTCTACTTCTTACTGACTGAACATAAGCTTCCAGTGCACCTCTGTTTAAAGGAAAAAACATACTCATTAGAATCGGAAGTGTTTGTTATGTGAGCCTCTAACAACAAACTATATGGATCACACTTTCAATTTTGCACGTTATTTTGTAAGTCCATTCCAGCCCATTTCCACATTAAGCTGTGATTTCTGAAAGAAATGACTCTAGGAAAATTTGTATTTAAAAAACTCACTTGATTACAAAACACATTTAAATACAGTATTTTTTCTCCGTACATGGATTTATAAACTTCTTTTATCATGCAAAACTGTATAGAAAAATTCATAAAGATGCAAAACCTAAAAGATAATTATATTCTCAACCATATTATTATGGCAGAAAGTTTGAACTGGATCAGCTCACTTAAAAATGCAGCTTTGGTCTTTAACCACCAGAATGCCACTAATGAGGGGACTGAACCTATGACCACCATAGGTTTTGCAACTGAAAAGGATTACAGCTATGTTATGAGAACAATGGGCTTGTGAAGAAGGGCTGCATAAGGGTTGTCTGAAGTGGGTAGTGCTGTGCCTTCCATACGCTGACAGCATACTTTACTGTTTCAGATATTACACAGCACAAATAGAGGCACTTGTGCTCCCAGCACAAAATTGTCCATAGATGACTCTGTAACATTCTGATCTTTGCTGCTATAGTGAAGAAGCAATCAACCAATTTTGTGGACGTGGAACTAAAAAAGATAATGAAAAGAAAAGCAAGAAATCCAAAGGAGATAGGAGGCAGTTGTGGCAACTGTTTAAGCAAGTTATTCTGTATATAACACACTGGTATAAGCCCCTGTTCTTTTAATCCAGATGATTACAAAAACTATTGTGCACAAAACCAAACTGAGCAGAGCCGAGACCCCTGGATGAAGTCAGAAAGTATAGTACTTAAGAGAAGTCATTTCAAACAGCATTGGAGCCTACTCAGATAAATCATAATAGCAAACTAGCAAGAAAATAATCATTTTATGAGCTAAAGATATTTTAGTTTGCTTTTGCTCTCTGCCAATCCTGTAACGCACAATATACTAAGTAGGTTCATGTATAGGCAAACAGTCTAGGAAAAGTCATAATTAAAGCATGTTTAGTTAGACCAGAGGTCAGCAAAGAGTTTTAGAAGGGGGCTGGTTCACCACCCCTCAGACCATGCGGCAGAGGGGGGCTTCTCTCCCCCTCTTTCCCCCAGCCCCTCCCCTCCCCCTGCTTTCCTACCGCCTCCGCCGCTCTACGGTTGGGAGCCGGCACCGGCGCCCCTCCTTTCTGGGCCAGCTTTCCTGGGCACCAGGCGTGGGGCCAGCAGGCGCGTCAAGCTCTAGCTGAAGCCCTGCGAAGCGCCCATCATGATGCCCACAGCGAGGCCATGGACAGAGAGGCTGGCAGGCGGGTGGCAAGTCTGAGCCACACCTCAGCGTGCAGGTGGCAAGGCTTCGGATTGGCTGGCACCAATCAAAGCCCAGCTCCCTCCGCAGGACGGGGAGAAGCCAGAAGGAGGGAGGGAGGAGGCACCCAAGTGGCGATTCCAGGACCGTCCATGTGCCGGAGCCAGAGGGCAATTGGTTCCGATCCAGCCTGCGGGCCTAAGTTTGCGGACCCATGAGTTAGACCAACCAATACCTCCAAAATGGTATCTCGGGTACGGCCAATCTAGGTTTCCTTAGGTTGGAATGTAATGTCTCCCTTAGCTAGTCTGCATTGCTGTGTAATGCAGTCAAGGGTGCCAGACTGACATAACATCTCTTTAGGACAAGCTCCTCCTCGCATTTCCAATAGCATGTTTTTACCATGTGGGCAGCTACAAGAAGGAATGGTGTAAAGGCTTATTCTGACACAAACAAGGTGAGGCCTGAATCTAGATTTACTTTTTCTGCAACCACAATCACAATAACCATAAAGCTGGCATGCCAAAACTCCCTCACCCCTGAACATTCTCACGAGAGAGTTTTCTTCCTAACATCCCCTCCAACAAAGGGGTGGCAGAGCTCACTGGAGTGAGATGCCACCTGTATGTAAGGTTTAGCATAGTCTCAAGGGGCTGCTTGCTCCACATTGCTTTCCACGCTCCCTTTCTTTGACCAACAACTAAATGGAGAACCACACACATTCAAAAATGGTCAATATTCCACTACAGTGGTACCTCTGGATACAAACAGGATCCGTTCTGGAGCTCCATTCGCATCCTGAAGCGTCCGCACATCTGCGCGGGTCACGATTCACCGCTTCCGCGCATGTGTGTGACGTCATTTTGAGCATTTGCACATGTGTGCGCGGAGAAACCCGGAAGCAATGCGCTCCGTTACTTCTGGGTCGCCGCGGAGCGCAACCTGAAAATGCTTAACCTGAAGCTACTTCAACCCGAGGTATGACTCTACTTGTTCCTCTCCGTTTCTACCAAGTAACTGTTTAGCTCATCTGAAGAGTTTGCTAGCTGGTGGTCCTGTTTAGTAGGACACAGCTAACTAGATGGCACAATCACCACAAGGAAACGAAAATTGCATATCCTACTTGGGCACGCAGGAATAACAGCAAAGCTTCTTGGGCACTTGGGAATGTAACAAAACGTGTCAGACAAACACTGTTGTGTGATATCCATTGGCTGCCTGAAAATCTAAAATCAAGCTAGCTGTGGGGAGGGAGGAGATAAGCAATCCTTCAGAGGTGTAAAGTAATCCCTGCCCCAGATAAGATACTCGGAAATGTTTTGACCCTCTGCCAGAAGCTTGAATAAGAATATTAATATTTCCTACGTATACAATGGTACCTTTAATTATGAACTTAATTCATTCCGGAGGTCTGTTCTTAACCTGAAACTATTCTTAACTAGAGGCGTGCTCTCGCTAATGGGGCCTCTTGCTGCCGCTGCACCGCCGGCACACGATTTCCGTTCTCATCCTGGGGCAAAGTTCTCAACTCAAGGTAACTCTTCCAGGTTAGCGGAGTTTATAACCTGAAGCGTTTGTAACCCGAGGCGTTTGTAACTCGAGGTACTACTGTACTCCTCTTTTTCCTAAGTGTTTGCATCCTGTGAAATAAGCATTCAAGTATGATTCAGGAGGAGTCATCACTGCCCTTATTCTTAATTCTAGCTGCTACCTTAGTAAAACAAGCTCCAGCAAAAACTACTGCTTGTAATCACAGGACTGCCTATATGATTTCTTTCATTTGTTTAATTGTGCGTGCATGTGCATCTGTACCTATTCAGAGGTATATGTGTGTGTGTGTGTGTTGCAGTCTTTAAATTAATATATAAAGCCATTTCAAGAGTGCTTTAATTTTGTTCCGTATACCTTGCTCACCAAGCTCCTTCTCTTCCCTTTTTAGTTTTCTAAACACTCTAGCGAAACAAACAACTTGATCCCAAACATACTTAACTTGGAAAGCAGTTCTGCTGATTTAAGTAGAGTTTCTGCTGCAATTCTTAGGATTACAGCCCAGGAGGCACTGCATCATTGAAAACATATCATAGAGCCAGAACTGCACAGGGATACAAGTAGCTGAATCCCCAAACAGCTATAAAATAAGTAAGATGACATCTTTATTAGATGAATTTCTCCTGCAGTAGGAAATAAGAGCGGCTCCCAAAAGAGAATTCTGTGTAATTTGGAATCTGGCTTGCTTCTGCACCAAAGAAGGTCTAATAAAAGACTACCTTGCTGGTCTGGAGTTAATCCCTGAAACCAATGCAGCTATAAATGCCTTGAAGAAGCCCTAATAGAAGTTGTTGCTTAGAATACACCAAAGCACTTCCACACATGGGAAACAGGGACAGCGGGATGCACAAACGGTCAACAGCGGGGAAGAAAAAGGAAAGTTTCCAAGTTGCAATACTGCAATATTTCTAAACTTAATTGGAAAAAAAAATGTGTTTTACCGTATCAAAATGAGTCTGTCCTTCTCAGATGGATGGTCATCAAGCCACCGGGAATAACGTGCAATGGTCCACTCTGCTCTCTTTCACAGGAAATAAATAAATACAAATATATATTATTTCTAGACATCTTCACATACTGGGCAAAAGTTAATGGCAACAGCCTTTCACGGGTTGGTATACAGTAATCAGTAGCAATTCATACATTGTTTAGCGCTCAGCCACATAGGACTGTAAAAAACCAGTTGCTTCCCCACAGCACTTTGGCTTGGGCAACTGTTCTGGAAACATGTAAAAGAATAGCTCAGAACAAATTAAATGGCCACTAAATGAGTCTCGGGACGCGGGTGGTGCTGTGGGTGAAACCACAGAGCCTTGGGCTTACTGATCAGAAGGTCGGCGGGGTGAGCTCCCGTTGCTCGGTCCCTGCTCCTGCCAACCTAGCAGTTCGAAAGCACGAAGTGCAAGGAGTAAATAGGTACAGCTCCGGCGGGAAGGTAAACGGTGTTTCCGTGCTCTGCTCTGGTTCGCCAGAAGCAGCTTAGTCATGCTGGCCACATGACCCGGAAGCTGTATGCCGGCTCCCTTGGCCAATAAAGCGAGATGAACGCCGCAACCACAGAGTCGTCCGCAACTGGACCTAATGGTCAGGGGTCCCTTTACCCTTTTTAAATTACTCTCAACCATGGATTAAACAAGAGAGGAGTAAGCTGTGGCTCTACATGTTGATAGACTAGAGTCCTCATCATCCCTGACACTGGCCAGGCTGGCTGGAGCCGAAGGTTCACAGTATCATCTCTGATGATTTCCTCTGTTGAATTGCAACAGCATTCTATTTCCAGAAGTTAACCAGGATGGAAAACGCCTGCGGCCTGCCGTGATCTCATAAAACCAACCCCACAAGCTGCAACTTGAGCATAGCTACGAAACAGCATTGGCGACAGTAATTTGAGAGAAATGGTTTTCTGCCACTGGTGGAGTATATGGTGAGAAAAGGCTGCGTAAAGTAATTACCTGGAACGGAGATTTTAATTCAGGTGGTGCTCTTGTAAATAAGAACTGAATAACGGTACTGAATGGAATGATATCTCCCACGGCCGGGCTATTGATGATATGCTCACTAGTCTGGAACAGCATTGGCCTGCGGGGGATAAAGAAGAAGTTAAGATGATACAGTTAAAAGGAAAGAAGATTATGCCTCCCTGTAATTTATTAGGAAAATGCCTCTTGTGGTGGATTAAATTGCACATTGCAACAGGTATTTCACCTTTTCTCATAGGATTGAATGATGGCCGTTCACTTGCATGGGAAAATGCAGACACAAACAAGGTTGGAATGGGAGTTGAACCTGCGGTTGCCTCTTCGAGTCTCCCATTTCTTGGCAAATGTTTTGCCTCCACCCATAACAGCGTTGCCTATTGCAGCTGATTTTGCCCCCCCAAAAAGGGGCCCACAAGTATCTGCCCACAAAGGGACAGAACCCAATGAAGGCTTCATTTTATCCATGCCACTCTAATAACACACACAGAACCTTAAAAACACACAGAACCCATGCAGCAGTTCTTTTCCGCTTTGCTTCATCGTCATTATGGAATTTGGTAAGCGATTGTTTGTAGTAACAGCAGCTTATTATTTAATTAAACAAAAACACTGCATCTCAAATCCTCTAATATCAGGGTAGGGGGCTTAGTGTAACTGCAGCTCATCAGCATAAGAACTGAGATCCACAACAAAAAGCAAAAAGGTGCAATTTAGCTGACATTTGCATGACAAAATTCTCCCAAGTTATAGTTACACTCTGAATAAAATGTTCAAGGAAAAAG